TAAAAAACAACAACAAAACAATCTAAAGAAACTGAGTCTCCATTCCACAACACTATAGAGTCAGAGACTTGGATGTTGTCTTGGTCTCCCTGTTACTAGCTGCGCATCCATGGGCTGACTAAACCAACCTCACTGAACCTGGTTATTCTTTTGTAGAGCATATACTCAGTAATTCTACCTACTGAGAGTGGAACGATAAACCCCTTGTTCGTATACATTATATTCTAGCTAGAAAAAGAGAAAGATTGAGATGCACATGGAAAACAACCTAAGTTCCATAAGAAATAATGGCCAAAAGCTGACACAAATCAACTACTGTCAGAATCTAAAATGACAGCAAGTGTGAGTTAGTAGAATGTAAATTATAAATCAGTATAAAAAATACAACTGAACACATCACTATGAAGCCTATGTTACCCAATGTGCAGCGGTCCAAACTAACCAAAGTACTTGAGAACATGACTTTAAAGGAATACCATAAAACAATACTGTACCATTCCAGCACAGATGAAATAGTATCAAAATTATAATCAACTTTAGAAGTTAGGAGAAGATTAAGTGGTAGAATCAAACTTAAGCCAAAGCAAAAATACACTGAAATACAGCAATTTCATTATACAAGGGAGTTTCAAAAAGTTTGTGGAAAAAATGGAATTAAAAGATAACAAATAGGACCTTAAGTGGAATCGTGAGGCCCATCCAGAACCTTCCGAGGTGGGACATTCCCACTAGAAAGGACAAGCAGACCAGCCTGGAAGAGCTAGAGCAACAGAAGATACATCTTCAAAGAAAGATTAGCAGGAAAAATCCAAAACAAAAATGGCAGTATGATTGGCTACTACAAGAATAAGCTAGTTGTTTGCTGGGAACCCATCAAGGCAAGCCATAAAGTCCCTTTAGGACAAACCCCCCTTTAAGACTGAAAGTCAAAGGGAACACATGAGCAGGCACATAAGCTTGCTGAGGACCACATTGGTCTACTGGTGAGTGGAAGAGGGGGAAAGGCAGCAATGATGAAAGGGACTGAGTTCAATCACATTCCATAGACTCCCATTGACCTGGAGATTAGAGAAACAAAGGAAGGGTTGGTTAGTCAAAAGTATGGTGAGACCAGGGGACACCTGAGCCCATGGACAAGGACATAGCTACAGAGGACTAGAGCTGAGAGTGAAGCATCCAGTTGACATGAAGTGACGGGAGATGCACAAGAACACCCAAACTTGCAGATAGTACCCATTTGATCTAGCCTGGATGGCCTGATAACCTAGAACTCAACTTGTTGTTGTTAAGTGCCGTCGAGTCGGTTCCGACCCATAGCGACCCTGTACAGGGTTTCCGAGGGTGTAAATCTTTACGGGAGTAGAAAGCCTCATCTTTCTCCCGCGGAGCAGCTGGTAGTTTCGAACCGCTGACCTTAAGGTTCACAGCCCAATTCGTAACCACTACGCTACCAGAGCTCCTAGAACTCAACTAGAGGAGGATTAAATATATATATATATACTTTGGATAATGGAAATGAGGGTGAATTGCTACAATTTGATGAACTTCACCTATACTCATGGAGGTAGCACCTCAAAATACCAACAGAGAGAAAGAGTTTTCACATCAAGTATCAATGCTATTCCCTCTGTATACAGGGCAGATAGGGATAGGAAACTTAGACACTGGCTACCTAAAATGAGGCAAGAAGTGATTGGCTTACAAGTTTTTAGGAGGGAGTTTAGTTTAAGAGTGTGCAGAGGAAGAAAGAGTCCCCATTGAATAGTTTTCATCTTGTCTAGATGGGTCTGTTGAAAAGAGATGGGGATAAGAGTCTTGTGACTTGATTAATTGTTATCATGACTAATTGAGACTGTCACAATTGGAAAGGTAGAAGTTTTATAACAAAAACGGGGAAGTAGTCAATCTTTACATTCCAGCAACAGAGGACCCTAGGACCATCAAGGGAGAAGAGTACAATCGGAATGCAGGACCTTATCCTAAGATGGCGGCAGAGATGAGGACATGGAGAGAGGGAGCTGCTGAGGACTCTAAATTCATGCAAAGAGAGGGACTGAGAGCTGGCGGCCAGGAGGCAGGCTTGCAGAATGTGCCCTTTGGTGTTGTAAATTATTATATATGCCTGAGTGTTTAAAAAAAAAAAAAAGAAAAAAAAAAAAGATAAAAGTGAGTAGAGAGAAATACTGTTAACTGATGGTACGTGGAGGAGATTATAATCATTGTAATGAAACAAAGTATATGATTTGTTGAATGTAAAACTGATGATATGCCCTGTAAACTTTCACTCAAATCACAACAAAAAACTTAAAAACAAAACAAAACAAAACAAAAAAAAAAGCCCGGAATTTTTCCATTAACATTTTGACGCTCCCTCATACTTAATTTTAACTTATTTCCAAGTTTTCCAAACTTATTCAAAACCTCTTTCTACAACCTCCTAGTTTCCCACAAAAAGTTAGAATTCACTTCCTATCGCCTCCAACAAAAAGTAAATTTAATTCTGCCATCTAAAAAATACATTAACACACTTGCTTTACTAACTTATGCTCAGTTTATGGTTAAACTACCCTCCCAATATAGAACAAAATTAGTTTTTTCCAGTTTTCCATTTCTTCCCTTGATTCTTCATTCCCCATGAGCTACAATTAGCTAAGTGTCACATTATTCCAGATGTTAACTTAATTCTGTAATATTCTGTCTTCTACTTTAAAGGCCTTATTAATTTTCATCTGAACGTCTAAACCACAGTGCAATAAAACACCAATGAATGTGGTGTTACTGCATTTAAATTTCAGCAAACTTTAATGATCAATTTACATAAAAGTAAGCCATAACTGGTTACTTGCTGTCTATAAATAAGTATATAATTACTGGATAAACTTATTATCAAGAAATTCTGGTGTCAGTGAACTTAATCCTAAAACTCTATTTAAGAATTATTCAATAATATTCATGACTATAATTAATCATAATAACAAAAACGTTAAGACTGGAATAAGACCACAATTTTCAGCTCAATATAAAACATACGCATCACACATCCTGTGTTTTTTTTTTTCACTCATTCATGTAAAATAAAGATGAATTGAAACAAAAAGTACAGAAAATAATATATAAGGTCCAGATTCCATTAAACTCACAGACACATTCTACAGTAAAGAAATGAGAAGCAAATAAAAATCCCAAGAAGGATATTTGATGTTACCTCCACAAATACAATGCACCTTCTTTTCTAATGGTGGTGGTGTTAGGTGCCATTAAGCCGCTTCCAACTCACAGTGACCCTGTATAGGATTTCAGAAGAGCGGCTGGTTGGTTTGAACCACCGACCTTGTGGTTAGCAGTCCAGTGCTTATGCTACAGCACACTAGCACTAAACTATCTCTTGTAACCACTTTATTTGAAAAAAGGTATAATGTAAGCTTTATGAAAGAATTCCAATCCTACTGTCCTCAGTTTTGCAAAAGTAAAACTACTACTAAAATGATGTTGTTAAGTACCATCGATCAATTCTGACTAATAGCTACCCTGCATTGGGTTTTCAAGGAGCTCTGGTAGCGTAGTGGTAACGCTTTTGATCAGCAGCTTCAAACAGCTATACAGCGGGAGAAAGATGAGGCTTTCTGCTCCAGTAAAGATTACAGCTTCGGAAACTCTTATGCAGGGTCACTGAGTCAGAACCGACTCCACAGCACATCACCACCATAGGGTTTTCAAGCAGCAGCTGGTGGATCTGAACCATTGACCTTCTGGTCCAGTGCATTGTCCTTCAGCACCACACCAGGATTCCAAACACTAAAACAGAATGGGCTACTTAATTGAAATTCTCCTAACTGAAATTCTCGTATCTCCTATGTACACTTTTAAATAGACTGTAGTAGTACAAGCTATCACTTAATACACCTCTAATAAAAAAGAAAGGATTCTTGGTGCAGCAGTATGAGTCCAGGGCATTGGAACTGAGCAAGGTCGGCAGTTCAAACTCACCAATCACTCCTTGGAAACCCTACACAGGGTCGTTATGAATCGGAACCGACTCAATGGCACTTAAAAAAATAATAATAATAAAAGAAAAATAGGCAAGTAGAAATGCAGTTTTTTCCCCAAATATTTTCCCAAAGGTCAGAGTAAGATTTTCCTTTAGATTAGGAATTTCCGCCCTGCTCAAAAGAATTCTTAGAAATAAATAAAATACGCTCTTTTGGAACTTTCTCCACCCTCTTAAAAAAACACAACCAACCTCCCTACGCTTTCTTTCTTGAGAAGCAGCTCAGATTCAGAAGCTGGACTAGAATTGGACAAGATTCAGAGAATTTGTCCGTAAGTGTGTGACCTTGGGCACGTCACTTATCACCTCAGTTTCTTCAGCAGCAGCAGGATGTGAAAGTGCTTTGAAAACAGTACAGGGTAAACATTATAGGTATTACACATAAGAGGATCAAGCCTTCCTATTTAAGACAAAATTCTCCTTTGAGAAGCCACATCAAGAAGCTGAATACCTAGATTCCTGTCAACATTTGACCCTTCTTTACATACAGTCCTCTTCTTTCAAAGGGCAAAATCCGAGTCACCCCTAAAAACAGCATCCTCAGCACCTCTCCTTCCTCCACTCTTCCCCTATCCTACTTCTAAAACGGGGGAAATAGCAGCCTCATCTGCCCCGCCCCAAGCCACACCTTTAGAGGACCCCACCCCGGGTACATCCGCCCGCTCCCCTCTCCAGGGGCACCAGAGGCCAACCTCGCCTTCCCCTCTCGCCCCAATCTAGAGGAGATTTCCCGGAGGCGTTCAGGCCCAAGTCTGGCAGGCGGCATTTACAAACCCGCTTTACGCCACTCGCGTAGGGTAACCTCACTTACGCCCATAGGGCCCCGCTCCAGCCCCGTCCGCTCCGCCTGCCAGAGCCGAGCCAGAGTGCCTTAGCCTTGGCCCTATGAGACCCAGACCTCTTCAGCGCCACTCAGAGTTACGGGGACTGAAAAAGAATAGCCACACCTTACCGGTAACTGAGGCGCTGACTCCACTTCCCACCTTTGGAGCCCTCTTCAACTCCCGGATCAATTCACTCCGGCGACGCCGGAAGGACCCGAGAGGAACCAGGCGTTGTCCGGAATCCTGCCCAGCCGGAGTCGCGCAAGGTGTATAGGGACTCGTAGTCCTATCTGCCGTCCATGTCGTCAATTCTTTAATTCATAAGACTACATATCCCAGCAGACCATGTGAAGGAGCCTAAGGCTATGGGTGGGGACACTTCTAACCAATAGTTTGAGAGTTTCCTGCCTTTTCAGGAGGAGGTGAGAAGGAAAGAGTTGAAGAAAAAGAGAGGAAGGGCGGGGTCAGATCTCACCTGCGCCAATCAGGGTGCAGAGCCGGCCCCGCAGGCGACGCACCCATTGTGCGGGCGGGCTAGAAGAGCGAAGGAAGGAAGGCAGGGAGGGAGGGGTTGAAGGTGTGGAATGTGGGGCTGCCTGGTGGGTGTACCGCGTGGGCTGAGAGGGGACCTCGGGGAAGTATTCCAGGCCCAGTAAGGACTCGGTGTGGTAACGCGCCCCAGCGGAAGGAGCAACTTCTTCAAGAACCGCCGAGCTTCTGGCATTCTGGGTTGCCGGACCTGTAGGTCTGGGCAGGACAGGCTGTCTAGGGCTGCCGGTGGAAGCACTCGGAGGGCTGGAGGCTTCTCCAGATGTGAGGCTACGGAGTGAGGGGACAAGGGTCTCCAGAGACAGGAAGTGGCAGAACAGCTATAGAAGTGCTGGGTGCAGGAAGACAACCGGGGAACGGCTTCCCGCCGCGGACCGCCCGGGCAGCAGCAGGAACAGCAGGGGGAGGAGTAACAGCCGCCTAATTCGCCAACTAGTGGAGGGGGAGGCGGAGCTTGGTTCCCTGTAGAAGCTGAAGGCGCAGCCTGGACTGTAGTTTCCCGGGAGAAACGGGAGCAGGAGCCAGAGGAGAGCGGAGCGCGGTCCTCGGAGCATCAGCTCCAGCATCCCGCCAGGGGTTGCAGGTGTGTGGGAGGTAAGCGTGGATGCCTCTTCCAGGCGTCCGCACATGAGAAAGCCTCTTCCTATAGGAACTATGTTAAGGCACTACTAAAAGAGTCTGCCTCCGGCTAGGAAACCGGTGCAACCCCTTATAGGTGAAACTGTACATTTTTTAGACTTTAAGGGGGGCGAAAAAAGCAAAAGGTGGCTTGACCCTGGGCATAAAAGGGTGTGGTTAATGTTTTGAGTTGTAGTATTAAAATTGTCCTGAAAGATTTCAAATTTAAAGGAAACCCTGCTAATTGACAAGGTGGATGATATCTGGATAGGTGCGTAGTTAGTAAAAAGCAAAATGTTGTCATTGATAAAGAATTACTTAAGAACTCTGTCACTAAGAAAATAAGTTTACATTCCTTTTTGATGTCTGCCCTTTATGTTGGTTTATCAGATTGTCCTGCTGCCGACCTGTTATTCTGGGTGGTTGCACTGCAGGTTTCTAGAATTGAAAGAGATCCGTATTAAAGAAGCAAATACGGGCAGGAATAGTGATTATAACTGAACGTATCAGAAGTATATAACTTTTGCCGGCAACAATGTAAAAATGTATTTTAATGGATGCATACTTAGTTTTCCTTCTACTGGCTCTGGAATAATGAAACAAAGACGTTAACTCAGCCTGAAGCGGGAACATAGGGTATACTTCATTGCAGCTCCTTATTCTCTCATTTGTGTCCGGTAATATATATACATTTATAAAACATGAATACAAAAAAAGCTGTGTGAGAATCTGTTTTCAGTTTAGAGTACGTGCTAAGTGGATATCCTTAGAATTTGTTATGATGGGTTCAGGCTTAAAAGACATGTCGAGTCATAAAATTATTTTTTTCTCAATACTAAACCATGTGTGTATTTCTTTCAATGTAATTAAGTGCATCTGGAAATATGCTTTAATACTAGGTAAATAGAAAGTTGCTATCTTTGTATAACTGTGACACAATTAACAGCATATTCTTTTTAGGTAAGACTATGTAACAATCTACTTGCCTAGTTCATTTGTCTTTTTGTTACAGAGGTTCTCCAGATTACATGGTTTTTAAATATAGTAGCATATTGCAGCACATTTTGCTATCGAATGCCTTCATTGTGACAGTTTTATATTTCAGAGAGTCTGTCTGAATACTTTAATCTGTATTTCTTGAACTAGGACTAATAAAATAGAATAATTGATTTCTTGTTTGTTTGGGTTTTTTTTCCACACTTTCTTGATTTACTTAAAAACAAAACCAATCCTGTTGTTGTTTGTGGATTCTAACTCACAGAATTTTATATTTTCCTAATGCATGCAAATTTCCTTTGTGAAAAGAAATGGCCCAAAAGAATTTTCTTTATAGCTTTGAGTTCAAGCCTACTGAGTGCTTGACAGCCTAAGTGACTTATCAGTGTATATACTCCTTCCCTTCAGGGCCCCCTCCAACACTCACTCTCCAAAGAAATATATTAGGACAGATCTTTAAAAAAAAATTTTTTTTAAATGCTGCTTTTAGGTTGCCCCCTAGCTGATCAGGTAAATGTTAAAAGCAACAAAGAGCTTCAGAGAGAAAAAGCAATAGTAGCCACTAAACTTAGCAGCCATTGTAAAGATCAGATATTTTTATTTGCTATGTCTTAGCTGATGACATGACCCTGTGAAAACGATTTTAGGGGAGAAACAGGAATTGAGGTATAGTGAGGTTTGAGAAAAGATTGTATTTGCCCTTTGTATTTGTGATTAAGTGGATGGTCCCAAATCAGAGTCTTAGATTCTCTCTCAGGTTCTGCTACTGATTCATTTTGTGAAATTAAACACTTATTGTCACTGGGTTATTTCCCCTATGCAGTAACAACAGTGATGACAATGGAGTTCTTTCAGAGCCTTAGTAAAAGGTGTTTTGTAAAGAGTTTGATTGGGAAACAGTTAATAACCAAGCAAATGGGCTAAAATTAAATATCAAAAGAATTGAAATTCAGGTGTACTTTGAATTCCAACTACTTACAGGTCTTTTGCTCTGAACATAAATGGGTAGAATCTCATCAGTAATGAATGAGTTTGTGGTATTAAAGTACTAAATGGTTTGCTTATTTCACTGATCTGTATCCTTACTGTGTCATTGAAAAATACTGGGTTCTTATGGGTTAATGTGCAGGACTGCAAGTTCGGTTTATACCACAAGGTCAGTGGTTCAAGCTTACCAGCCGCTCCTTGAAAACCCTATGCAGGATCACTATGGGTTGAGACCGACTCGACAGCACTTAGCAACAACAATATATCGTTGCTGTGGTGTAGAAGGACCATGTATTTATAGGACAGAAACTATTTGCCAATATATGTAATACCTGGACTCCTGGTGTGGTGCTATAGGATCAGCACTATACTGTGAACCACAAGGTCGACATTATAAACCAACCAGCCGCTCCTCAGAAACTCTATACAGGGTCCCTATGAGTCAGAACTGACTTGACTGCACTTAACAACAACATCGTACCTGGACATATATTTGTTACCAGGGATCCTTAGATAGTTTTAATTGAGGTTCATTCCAAAATTCAGACTAACTGAAGATTGCTATTGACTTCCTTACTACTACTGAGAAGGTTCATTATATGGCAGTTTATAACTGTATTTAAAGCACTGGCTAGGTTTAAAACCCTATACAGGGTTGCTGTGAGTCGGAAACGACCATACGACATTTAACAACAAAACAGTTTAAAAACATGTTATTTAATTTGCTCTTGATTTGTACTAGTTGTGTGTGTGTATGTATGTATATATATATGTGTCTGTGTGTGTGTGTGTGTGTGTGTGTGTATAGGGGGAGGTTGGCATGATATAATAGTAATTTTTTTAAAAACCGTTCAGAATGTCTCTCTTAAATGGAAGTTGCTCTGAGGATTACTGTTCTTTAACCAAAAGACTTGGTTCATTAAAAATTATAATTTTTTTTGTATTTTTTTTTTTAACTAAAATTCTAACTCTAAGCCTATTGAGTAAGAATAATTGAGTAGCATGGGATTCTCTAATAGGAAGATTCACTGATGCATACTGCAACAAATAACAAGGCTTTCAGATTCAAGATCAAATGGTTTTGGTGTGTGTTGTTGTTGTGAAGTGCCGTCGAATCAATTCCGACTCATAGCGACCCTGTATAGGGTTTCCTAGGAGCAGCTGGTGAGCTTGAACCGACACCCTTGCAGTTCAAATGGCTTTACAGTCTGGTGCATTAACCCACAGCGCCACACCAGAACTCTAAATAGGAAGAAAACTGCTTGAGAAACATAACCCTTAGCAAGAGAGAAAAGAGACTTGATCTTTTTTGTGAAGTGCCATGGCCTATTTTTGTTTTGTTCCTTTATCATTAATTTCCAGAGGCATATTTCCATAGTCGGAGATGCCACTTTACTATAGTGTCATTTTATCTAGTCAGGCTGACACAAATTCATTAGATTTTGAATAATCATGGATTATTTGAGAAAAGCTGAAAAGATCACATATGTGTATACTCACTTCTTTGGCACTATAGGATAAGCACTAGACTGCAAACCACAAGGTTAGCAGTTCAAAGCCACCACTGCTTCTCAGAAATTCCATACAGGGTTGCTGTGAGTTAGAACTGACTCCACAGCACTAAACAACAACAAATGTGAAACTTATTTAAAGCAAAAGGAACAAAAACCCTAAAATGAGTTTTTAACCCTGAATAATAAAAGTACTTGAACCAATAAACATGAACAAGGGCTGCTTTTTCTTTTTGTTTTTGGTGAGGAGGATTGCTGTTTACTTTTATTTTTTAAGCAAACTTCTAAGAACACTATTTTGAGGAGCAATATTTATCATTATAGAAGGGTAAGGGTTTTATTTAGTTTTTAGCCTTACCTCTAATGCTTTAAGAATTTAGTCCTTAACATTTGGAAAGTATTTTAAGTAACTAGATCATTAGCTTTTTGAGACCATACTGGACTGCTAACCACAAGGTTAGCAGTTCAAACCCCCTAGCCATTCCTTGGAAACTCTATACAGTGTCACCATGAGTTGGAAATAATTTGATGGCACT